TAGTTCACACTTTTGACCTGATGAGAAGGGACGCCTGTTAGGGCTAACCTGTAGGCTCTGTAAGGATTGAGTTAAACATTTATCTTTTTTGATTAAGTGCTTGTTATCTGCCAAGATAACAGATCTTGGAGGCACAAATAGACAACATGTTCTTATGGTAATTGCAGGAGATCACACAAAGTTTAGGCACAGGATGGTTGGCAGGACTCAGAATTCCCCAGGATAAAGTGGCAGAGCCAAAAGCACAGCTCAGAGATCCTTAAGTTATATTCTTGGGCAGCTAGGGGGCACCACAGTGCACAGTGCCCTGGGTCTGGAGTCAGGAAGACCTGAGTTCAAATCCAGCTATGCACCCCTGGGCAAGTCACTTAATCCCAATTTGCCTCAGTTTCCTCATCTGTAAAATGAGCATAATAATAGCACCCATCTCACAGGGTTGTTGTGAGGCTCAAATAATATAATAATTGTAAAGTACCTAGCCCAAAGAAAACACCATATAAATGATGTGTGTGTGTTTTTTTTTAATGTTTTATCTTTTCAATAGCTCAGATGGAAGTGTTGAGAGTCTTGGGGACATGGAAGTAGGGTATATAGTAAAGTCTGTTGATTGCCCAGCTCATTGGAAGAAATAGAGTTGTTTGGCCATAGGAAATGGCAAACAACACCCCTGCATTGTTCCAACAGCCATGGAGGTCTCCATTGGAAAATAGTTCAGAGAGGGCTCTGGCAGTGGCTTTAGCCTCTTCAGCTGTTGGGATAGCCTCTACCCAACAGGTATAGTTGATATAGCTATTAGACATTCTTTACTTAGGGGCAGTTAGGTGGTGCAATGGATAAAGGGCTTGGCCTGGAATAGGGAAGACTCTTCTGCAGGAGTAGATCTGATCTCAGACACTGACTAGCTCTGTGACTCTTGGGAAATCACTTAATCCTATCATTTGTTTCCTCATCTGTATAATGAGTTGGAAAAGGAAATGGCAAATCACTCCAGTATCTTTACCAAGAAAACCCCAAATGGGATCATGCAGAGGTGGATATAACAGAACAACGTTCTTCATTTGTGGGGCCCCCACCCATCCTGTCTAAACTATAGTCATTAGCGAAAGCAGAAAACCATGACCTTCACACAGGGAAGTCATTCCAAACCACCCCAAGTTTAGTTGTGTTTTGTGGACTAGTTAAATGTTTTGTGTCTCTAGACCTGTTTATGGTTCCTATGTATCCTTAGCACCTTGTATATTTTTTTTACATGATGAAATTAAAGCTATCCCCTGTTCCAAACCCATATTGTACGTTGTGTCCATTTGGAATTGAAGGGTCTTGTTATTTACCTTTGAAGAAACCTTGGCATGAGCTGTGCTTAAATTTTATTTTGGAAGGAGAGAGAACCTGACACTCTTGGGGTGAGGTCCCTAGGATCAGCCCTGGTCCATCTGAATCCAGAGTTTTTGTAATGACATACACAGAATAAATCTAGTCCCTTCTCTGCATAACATGAATACATGAAGATGGCGATTATAGCACCTCTAAGTCATCTCTTGACCAAGCTAAACAAACCCAGTTCCTTCAATTGATACTTGAACAGTACAATTTCCAGTCCTTCCACTATCCTGATTTTCTCTTCTCCAAAGCAATATTCATTGATGTGGCCTCAACATGATCTTCTTCAGATGTGGTAGAGCTTTTCTGCTGGGTCCTTTGGAGATCCTTGAATCTGCATCCAGAATATATTTGGCTCCCAAGATAGATATTGCCACCAGCTGCTACAATCCCAGGAAAAAATTTTGGATATTGATATATAGAAAGTAAGTCCAAAATCCTCCTGAGAGAAGGAAGGAAACTTGAATGGTCCTAGTCTGGCCAAAGGAGGGAAGGAATGAGGATTTAAGCTGAAGCTTAAGACATCTCTTCCTCCTCTTCCAACACCACAAAGCAGTTCCTTCTCAGGGGAAGCTTTTTCCCCTCTCCATCATCAGACATTTATGGAAAATCCGTAATTCCAATTAGCAGTCAGGTTTTAGACAGACCCTGGGGGTTTGACTCCATTCTTTAGCCTATTGAAACACACTTCCTGTCACAACTAGAATGTCCGGGCTTAGTGGACAGGTCAAATGTAATCTCACCTCATAAACCTATTCATAGTTTGGCAGCTTGACAATTATTTTAAATAAGCTGGAGTAATTTGACTAATGTACTCAATCCACCTCCACCTTTATCTAAACATACACAAAATAAATATAAGGAAAATAAATCCAAGATAACTGATGAGGGAAGGCATTAGAAATTTAGGGGATCAGGAAAGGCTTTCTGTAGCAGGCAGTATTTGATTTGTGTCATGAAGAAAGAGAGTGATTCTATGAGGTAGACATGAGGGGGGAAGGCAGAAATGACTTTTAAGCTTCCTTCCAACTCTCTGACCTATGACTATGATGAAAAAAGAGACCACAGCTTTTGGAAAAAGGCCATGTAAAGGCCATAAGAATGCCAAACTATATGGGCCCAGGAAAAAATATGAAGTGGGTAAATGTAGCAAAATGGTATAAGTTGGCTACCGCCAACAGCAAAAACCCATGAGATCCTACTGGTTCCATTGTTTCCAATGGGAAACGTCCCTTTCCCCCTCTGTTTTTGGCCCACAACTGGGGCAGCTAGGTAGTACTGTGGATAGGGTTCTGGGCTTGGAGTCAGGAAGAACTGAGTTCAAATCTCTTTTACAATATTTACTAGCTATGTGACCCTTGGCAAGTCACTTTTTAAAAACCTTTCTGTCTCAGTTTCCCCTAATAGCATCTACCTTCCAGGGTTGCTGTGAGGATCAAATGTGATATTTGCAAAATGCTTAGTACATACGCTAACAACAGTTAATATTAACATAGGGTAGCTAGGTGAACATACTGGTGCAGAGAGGAGGAATCAGAACCAGGGAAACAGTAAACAATCACAATAACTTGTTTTTGTTTTGTTTTGTTTTGTTTTTTTACGGGATTATAGCCTCAGGGAAAAGCAAGAGATTTGGCCATGTGGGAAAGTCCAGGGTTTTTCTTTTTTGGGGTCTCATCAATTCCTCATCATTCCCCCCTCAAACAAATGGCACTCAAATTCTTTTGGGGTAAAGGGCGAAGGTCTTGGCTTCTGAAACTGCTTCCTGCTGGCAAGGGATGTAGAGTTGTGCCTGCCTAGAGGGGGTCCAAAGAGGAGGTTGACTGGAATCAAGCACAGGCTATGTCCAAGAAAGGATGGGGGGACATTGGCTGGTTCCCACTGTTTGCTACCAACTGTAGGTGAATGACCTGTAGCCTGGAAGACACAGATCTGACAGAAAGGACTGCAGGGCTCAGATATAAAACAGGGACTAGATTTAGGGCCCAAATATGAGAGAATAAAGCATCCTTGGCTCTGTTTGGATTCAGATAATTCAGTTTTCCAACCATGCCGTATCAAATCCACCTCATAGCCAGACTCAGGAATAGCCAGGTGGGTAACATTCCCTTTCAAAGGAACATAATGGGGAAACTGAGCCAGGAGGATCCCATCTTAGACTGAACTAAAATTGTCTTCTCAGCTTTTCCTGATGCTGACTTTCCATCACTATCACATTCTCTCTGAATAGCTTGTGGCTTGTCTCAGATGGTGGTGATGCGGTTTAAAGGTTCAAGGGTGCTGGGACCCCAAAGTCACATGTGGATCCTGTCTGAAAGAATTTGACCCAAGCCTTCTTTCAGCCAAAGACAAGGTTTCTTAGAACATCCATCATATTGGGCAGACTCTTAAGGAGTCTGAACATGGGTAAGCAGTGGCTAGATTTTTAAGAATCTGAGCAGTGGCTAGATTTTAAAAATCTAAGCAGTGGCTAGATTTTAAGAATCAGAGTCATGGCTAGATTATGAGAATCTAAGCCAACAATAACTTGTAAATGACGGAACAACAACAAAAAACAAACCCAACACTGGGTTATTATACTAAACAGGTTTGTCCCCAAAGAGAAATTGAGAAAAATGTGACATCCTTCTTTGCAGGGCTGGGGGACTATGAATGTGGACCATCAAATGTGCTGTCTGACAGGTGATATGTTGTTAATTGTCAGCTAATCTTTAATCTGATGGAGACTGCTGGTCCCTCTCCTGTCTTCTAAGAGTCTTTTCCTTCAGCCGTCTCAAGTGGAGATGGCCTCCTCCATCTTTCATCTCGAGGCTGGAAACCAGAAGCCCCTTGAGAAATACAAGGCTTGAAGTGAACTCTAGAAGATTGAAAGAGAACTTCAGAGCTCTCCTCTCTCCCAGTCTTTCCAACACCATTTACACAGGGGAAGTCCTTCATCTCCATCAGCAGGAAAGGGTCTCACATGAATGGGCTTTGGGACTAGGGTTACATCATTTTTACTCTTTCGTAAAAAGGATAGGTAAGGGGAGAGACATATTTAGAAATGAAGGTGATGGGAAACAAAGATATCAAGAAAAATGAAATGTGTAAGAAAAAATCTGAATTAAATGAAAATGTGTCCTTGGTCACTGGGTTACAGGGAGGGGCTTTCTAGCCCTTTGCCCTTTTCCTCCTGCCCTAAGTGATTCCAGGAATGAAGATATGGAGAGGATATGGGGTCAATTAATCTTTGGACTTTCATTCCATTAGCTTGACTCCCCCAGAATCCAGGGCTGTGTTCCCTATACTATTCTAGGATTCTGTAACACTTCCCCCTCAACCACAACCAAGGTCTTACTGAAAGGTATTTGCCCTTGCATTTTTTCCCATTATTATAGGAATGAACAGTAGGAATCCTCCAGAAACGGGACTCACCCTATGCCCCACCTAGAATAAACCTTTGTCCCTGTGTCTTAGAAAGAGGTCATTGCCTGTATCTCTCTGCTGCTTGGAAAAGACCAGACAGATGCCAGGAATCACCCAGTATCTCATCAGCACATGTACTCTGACCTCATATTACTATTTTCCCCCCTCCTTCCACATTTCTCAGCTCCTTATCAGCTACTTTTCATTCTTGCCCATGTCACCTCCCTTTGAAGCTCAACCTATAAAGGTCCTGTCACTGTCAGGCACACCATCGCACAGCCCTGCCAGACAGGTAAGAGGAGGACCTGAGAAGGAAGGATCACTTTGGATCCCAGACACCAAGGAAGAGGGGGGAAGGGGATGCCTTTGGGAGAAAGGTTGGCAGATGGCCATCCTAGAAGTATGATGGAGGGCGCCCTGAGCCTCAACCCTGCTATCCGTCAGTTTATCTGCTGTTTCCAGAGTCTCCAGTTTCCCATAGATCTGGGAAATGGGAGAAGGAGGAGATGCCATGAGAACCTGCCACCAGGTCTGGAGGGAGAGAGCAGGGGAGCACAGAGGGTCTTTTGTCCTTCCCCCCTTTCCTGATTCCATCTCTGGCTCTCCTCCAGACTGAGGTGCTCTGTACCATAGTGTGTGGGCTTTCTGTCCCTGCAGACTCTGAGGCAATGCTGCCCCTAGTGATGATGCCCAGCTTCTCAGGGATGCTCTTGGCCTGCCTGCTGCTCACAGGCCTGGTACATGGTGAGTGCTTCTTGTCCCCCCTCCCTGACTTCCATGTTGTGCTTGGGGTCAGCCCCATGTGTATGTGGAGAGCTAGAGGGGGAGCAGACACAAAGGGCAAAGTGCAGAGGTTATGATGTTGGGGGTAGGGAGGGGGAGCAAAGAAGAGAGGAGAGGGACAATCAGGAACTCAAGAGGACGGCAATCCCAGATCCCCAGCCATCTGGTCCCTTCCCATCCCTCTTTCAGGTGAGGCTGCCCCTGCTGCTGTTGCCTCTGTTCGCCGCTCCTGTCCTGAAGGGTCCAAAGCATTTGGTTCCTACTGCTATGGCTTGTTCAGTATAGCACAGACCTGGGATGCTGCAGAGGTTGGTTGAGGGGAGGAATCTCCAAATAAGGATAGGGATGCCATTTTGTTTATCATGATGCCCCTTGAGGCTTAGTCATGGGCAATTAGCCCTTCCTCTTTCTCCAGGAGGGTTCTAGATTTTGTTTCTCTATTTTCTGTCATCCAAGGCCTTCATTCTCCCCAGTTACCTGAATGTGCGATCTCTGTCTTGTCTCCTATTCTCCACCCTGCATGAGGAAAGCTCTCTTCTCTCTCCCTCTACAGGTGGACTGCCAAAGCCAGACCTCAGGCCATCTGGTCTCCCTGATGAATGGGGCTGAAGCTTCCTTTGTGGCCTCCCTGGTAGCTGAGAATGGGGTCAACAGGAACCCTATCTGGATTGGTCTCTATGACCCTAACAAGGTTTGTCCCACAGACTCCTCTAGTGCTTCTGTCTGCCCAGGTTATCAGGGGAGGGGTTGGGGGGCCTGCTCATACCATGCCATCCTCTTCTTCCTTGGAGCTCTATAAAGAGGGAATTGGGAGGATGTGAGGTAGCTCCTGAGGAGCAAGATCCATTTCTAGTGGTATCTAATGTTCATGGCTCCATCCAGGTGTCTCTAGTCAAAATCAATCTGTCCAAGCTCAACTTCTTTCACACACACTCCATACCTCATTCAAACTCCTATTCCTCCTCCTCATGGCTATTCTTGTAATTGAAGGTCATAGTGTCCATCTTGGTAGAAATAAGACATAAAATCCCCCAAACTTTCCTTTAGAGAACCAAACAAATGGTCAATCAGACAGAAATGTTCACAATTGGTAAAAGAAGAACTTGGTGTTAACCCCTTGGAAACACATTAACACCTCATCATCTGTGATGTGTTCTAAGTGATATAAGGGAATGGGGCCAAGTAATGTAATATTCTTTCTGCTGATGTAAGAGAGAGAAGAGTTGGTTTGCTCCCCACCACTAGCCCAATTGCTGTAGGCACATGAAATAATCCCAGATGATGAGGTGTTAATATGTTTCTATGGAGTTAAGGTACTTTTTCTTACCATATCTAAGAGGGACATAGATGTAATACAGGACAGAGGCTAGTCTAGGACATGACTGGCTGGCCAGGATTGTCTGAGCCATAGTTAACCAGAACAGGGACAGATCAGTGTAAGAGAAATTAGGGAAGGCTTGCAAGAGGAGTTGGGCTTCTAGTTAGATCCTGCAGAGGAGGATATCACAGACTTCAGCCTTTGCACCAAATAGAATACCCACTATACTAAACTCAAGTGTACAAACAGCCTTTTGTAGAAGGCCACCAAGGAGAAGGAACCCATTATATCCATTTTGATGATGGACATTTCTAATTTCCTGGAAGTCTTTGTTACATCAAGGCTAAATTCTCTTTGGACTGTACCCCGACTGCTTCAAATTCTGGTCAAGAGCAACAAGGCTAATCTGACTTCCATGTTACAGTGTGTCAAGTAGTAGCATGTAGGATTTTGAGGACTAGATGATGGGATTATTAGAAATTCTAATAGGGAGATGGTATCTGGAAACATTCAATGGAAGAACTAATGTGGGGAATTTTGAGGAGAGTGAGAAAAAGTCGTGTGTGTATTTGGAGGGGTTCTCAGTCATCACTGCCTTCCCCCTGCAGAATCGGCGTTGGAAATGGACCGGCAATGCCCTATTCACCTACCAAGCCTGGGCTACGAGTGCCCCCAGCAATAGCAATCCTGGATACTGTGCGACCTTGACACCAGAAACAGGTGAGACAAAAGAGATTCACAAACATCAGAATTCCTTGTGTCACAATTGCATCCCCTTAGCCCTAACCCTCTGGATGGGTTGGGGGATGGAGAAGCCACTTCACCCATATTAAGGGGATATATCTTTGCTTCTTTCCCCTCTCCTCCTTGCCTCTTGTGACCATAAGCCTCTACCTGTAGCTTTATTAGTGCTTAGGGGGTTAGGGAATGCCCTGAATCCTGGGTCTGGGTGTCGGGGTTACTAGGCTGTGGGGCCACAAGTCACAGTATCCCTGCTTCCCAGCCTGATGAATCACATCTCTCCTTAGGATTCAAAAACTGGAAAGATCAACCATGTACAAGCAGAAACTTCTACATCTGCAAGTTCAAATCCTAGAGATTACAAGCCAGAGAAAGGAATTGGGATTCTGTTTCCTTGGGATCGAGCCTTGACCTATGAGGGGCCTGGCTACAGGCTCTCTGTCCTCTCAGAAACCTCTTCTCCCTACCCTCCTCCCTACCTCCAGGCCGGTATCTCTCACCCCTGGGTAATTGCCCTTTAGCCCCGTCCTTTGCCTTTACTTAATATCTTCTTCCTCCTCTTACATTTCCTTGTGGGCTGTCTGGTGCAAAACACTGGACAATCAGAATAAACGATTATCTTTCCAATCTTCTCTGTCTTGTATCATTTTTGTTTGAAGACTGGCTTTTCAAATAGGGCTATGGTGTGTGTGTGTGTCTGTGTGTGTGTGTGTGTCTGTGTGTGTGTCTGTGTGTGTGTGTGTGTGTGCGTGTGTGTGTGTGTGTGTGTGTGTATGTGTATGTGTATGCATTTATGTGTGTGTTTCAGGGGAAAAGATGGAGATCCCATGGTATGTAGGATGAGGTACTTTTTCTAGCTTCCTCCCAAAGGCAATATTCATTCATTCACCAAGTCTTTGTTGAGCATTTATTTCATATCTGACATAGTGTTGAGTCCCCTGGAGACCACAGGAAACACCTATGCAGTGCTGTGGTTTGGGAAGTTGATTTTGTGAACCTAAGTTTAAGATTCATATTATCCCTATTAAGTCTCCTTCTCCTCCTTCTCCTTCTCCTTCTCCTCCTCCTCCTCCTCCTCCTCCTCCTCCTCCTCCTCCTCCTCCTCCTTCTTCTTCTTCTTCTTCTTCTTCTTCTTCTTCTTCTTCTTCTTCTCTCTGTCTCTTTCTCTCAACAGTTGCAGATTTGATGACTATGCATGCTATGTCTTTATCCAAAGTACTGATTTATTTAAAAACAAACAAACATTGCATAACAGCAGAGACAATTTTGGTTCACAGAGAACAAGTCACGCCAAACCCAACTCATTTATTTTCTTGCATAGGAGGCAGCAATTTAAAGTGGAAAATGCTCTGTTGTAGACTGGATCACCTGAGTACAACCCTACCTCTCACGCTGACCATGTGATCTTAATACTTAGGCAAATTTTAACTCTCTTTAAGTTACAGAACAGTTACCTATTGGCTGTTGTTGCAGGTGGGTCCTCACTGGAAGTTCTATACTGGGATTGATGACAGTTCTGGACATCCCTGAACTCCTATCCCATAACTTGTTCCAAGGTGAAGTAGCAGATCAAGAATAGGTCAGCATTGCAGAAAGGATGGGGATTTTAGGAGGAAATTATGCGTAATTGTTTGCCAAACACCTTTGGCTCTTTTTGATATTGGTGTACCACTGGAAGAGGGATATGGTCTTGGTGTTCTCACTCATGCCTGACACCTAGGATGTATGTATGGTTGAGCACACCATCTCACACAGTAAAGGAAAAGAATAGAAACAAAGACTGCTTGTCGTATGACTTGAGGCAGGTAAGTCAACCTGGGCACAGTAAAGCCCTTCCTTGTTTATTCCATTCCAAGACTAGAAAAAAGGATAAGAATTGATGAAAGGCATAGGAGGGAGAGCTAAGAATGAGCAGGCCAAGCTCCATTTACTTTTCTTTTTTCATATTAATTTATTTTGATTTATCAACAATCACTTCCATATGCTTTTGAGTTTAAAATTTTTCTCCCCCTTCCTCCCCACCAACCTCCCTAAGACAGTGCACAATGTGATATAGACTATACATATACATTCTTATTAAACATATTTCCACATTAGTGATGTTGTAAGTAAAAATTAGAACCAATAGGAGGAACCACCAGAAAGAGGAAACAAAACTCAACAGAAAAGAAAAAAAATAGCAAATAGTATGCTTCAATCTGCATTCAAATTCCATAGCTCTTTCTTTGGATGTGCATAGCATTTTCCATCACGAGGCCTTTGGAGATGTCTTAGATCCTTGTATTGCTGGGAAGGGTTAAGTTAATCAATATTAGTCATCACACAACAAGGCTATTATTGTGTACAATGTTCTCTTGGTTCTGCTCACTTCACTCAGCATCAGACCATACAAGTCTTTCCAGGTTTTTCTAAAGTCAACCTGTTCATCATTTCTTATAGCACAATAGTATTCCATTACATTCATATCCATTTACTTTTCTATGAACACCAGGTATAGGCACTCCTCATAGACCTTCCTGACAATTAGAGAGAGCTGTCCCAAAGTAAAATGGGCTTCTTGCATAACTGCTGGTTTTTCCATTCATGAGGGTCTTTTAAACAAAGGTTGGAGGACATTTGAATGACCTATAGCAGGGAGAACCAAATGCTTGTCCATCTTATTGTAGTGGATATTCAGTTTGGGGTGCAGTCTGGTTAGACCAGCTGGTTTCTGGAGTCCCTTTCATCTCTGAAATTCTCTGGCTAAGTTTTAGGAGTTGAGATATTTTGTGATATTCTCAATTTCTGGATATTTCATTGACCCCTTGCCTGTTTCCCTTTAGTAACAAGAAGTAAAAGATTCATATGCATTTGAGACACATTCTGAGTTTTGGCCTCTCTGCCACTTAGGAACTTATTAAAAGTCACTGACAAAATCATCACTATAGAATTTTCTCATTACTGTGGCTCAGCATTCACTATTCAGGGCAGTTAGGCGGTGCCATAGTGGATAGCGTACCAGGCCTGGAGTACTGAGTTTAAATCTGGTCTCAGACACTTACCAGCTCTGTGACCCTGGGCAAGACGCATAATCCTGTTTGCCTCAGTTTCCCTCATCTGTAAAATGAGCTGGAGAAGGAAATGGCAAACCATTCCAGTATCTCTGCCAAGAAAAGCCCAAATGGGGTCATGTAGAGTCAGATACAAGTCAAAAATGACTGAACAACACTCACTATTTAGTACCATCATCTGTTTTACTCCCTCAGAATGCAATTAATTACATGTATATTAAACACAGATATGCATCACAAACAAGTTATGACTAAGTATAATCTTATGTTAAGGATAATATGCTTTAATATTTTTTAATTAGCAAAAATGGTTCCTCTCTTCTTCTTACCCCCCAATTGAGAAAGAAAGAAAAACAAAACCTGTTATGAATATATGTACTCAATCAAAACAAACTTCTGCACTGGTCATATCCTCCCAAAGAAATATGTCAGATTTTGAAATCTGAGTGGATTAAAACCCAGAATCCTACAATATTTTGTTTAAAAGAAACATACTTGAACTAGAGAGATATATACGCTGAAAAAGTAGGAGGCTGGAACAGAATCTATAATGCTTCATCTGAACTTTGAAAAGTAGGGGTAGCAGTCATGGTCTCAGACAAAACAAAAGGAAAAATAGATCTAATTAAAAGAGATAAGCAGGGAAACCACATTTTGCCTAAAGGTATCATAGACAATGAAGCAATAGCAATACTAAATATATATGCACCTAATTGTATAGCATCCAACTTCTTAAATGAAAAGTTAAATGAGTTACTAGATTAAATAGACAGTAAAACTATACTAGTGAGGGACCTTGATTTTCCCCTTCTCAGTATTAGATAAATCTAACCAAAAAATAAATAAGAAAGAAGCTAAGGAGATAAATAAAATTCAGAAAAGTTGGATATGGTAGACCTCTGGAGAAAGTTGAATGGGAATAGAAAGGAATACACATTTTTAAAAAATTAATTTATTTATTTTTAATTTTCAACATTCATTTCCACAAGATTTTGAATTCCAAATTTTCTCCCCATCTCATCCTTACCCTGACCCCAAGATGGCATGCATTCTGAGTACCGTCTATACCACATTTCCTGTATATCTTATTTCCCAGTTGAATGTGAAAACAATTTTTTTTAACTTTTGTTTTCAAAATTTTGGGTTCCAAATTTTCTCCCTTCCTTCCTCCCCACTCACCCTCATTGAGAAGGCAAGCAACTCAATACAGGTTATACATGCATAGTCATGCAAAACACTTCCATAGTAGTCATGTGAAAAACTAAGTATATTTCCCTTCATCCTATCCTGCCCTCTATTTATTCTATTCTTTCTTTTGACCTTGTCTCTCCTTAGAAGTGTTTGCTTCTGATTGCCTCCTCCCCCAATCTGCCCTCCCCTCTATCATCCTCCTGCTCTCTTGTCCCCTTCCCCTCCCTATTTTCCTGTAGGGTAAGATAGCTTTCCATGCCCAACTGAGTGTGTATGTTATTCCCTCCTTAAGCCAAATCCTATGAGAATAAGATTCACTCATTCCCTCTGACCTTCCCCCATTTCCCTTCCACTATGGAAGCTTTTTCTTGTCTGTTTCATGTGAGATAAGTTACCCCATCCTACCTCTCCTTTTCTCCTTCTCTCCATATAATTCTCTCTCACCCCTTAATTTTCTTCTCCAGATATCACCCCTTCATCTTCAACTCACCCTGTGACCTCTAACTATCTATTTATCTATCTATCTATCTATCTATCTATCTATCTACCTATCTAATCTATCTATACATACATACATATAATTTTTCCCTCCAATTACTCTAATACTGACAAATATCCTCTTTCCATGCAGAATGTAAACAATTCAACCTTAATAAGTCTCTTATGATTTCTCTTTCCTGTTTTCCTCTCATGTTTCTCTTGAGTCTTATATCTGAAAGTCAAATTTTCTATTCAGTTTTATTCTTTTCATCAAGAATGCTTGATGAAAGTCCTCTATTTCACTGAAAGACCATTTTTTCCCCTGAAGGATTATACTCAGTTTTCCTGGGTAGGTGATTCTTGGTTGTAATCCTATCTCCTTTGCCCTCCAGAATATTATATTCCATGCCCTGTAGTCCCTTAATGTAGAAGCAGCTAAATCTTGTGTTATCCTGATTGTGTTTCCACAATACTTGAATTGTTTCCTTTTGGCTGCTTGCAATATTTTCTCCTTGACCTGGGAACTTTGGAATTTGGCTACAATATTCCTAGGAGTTTTCCTTTGGGGATCTCTTTCAGGCAGTGATAGGTGGATTCTTTCAATTTCTATTTTGTCTGCTGGTTCTAAAATATCAAGGCAATTTTCCTTGATAATTTCTTGAAAGATGATGTCTAGGCTCTTTTTTTGATCATGGCTTTCAGATAGTCCAATAATTTTTAAATTCTCTCTCCTGGATCTATTTTCCAGGTTAGTTGTTTTTCCAATGAGATATTTCATATTGTTTTCTAATTTTTCATTCTTTTGGATTTGTTTTACAGTGTCTTGATTTCTCATAAAGTCACTAGCTTCCAATTGCTCCATTCTAATTTTTAAGGAAGTATTTTCTTCAGTAAGCTT